GGATTCCTTTTCCGAAAGTCATATTTTTAGTTACTATGTTAAGAAAAATAATGTGCTTTTAAATGCAAACACTAACCAACCATTAAGTACACAGAATGCTGCTATACTTCCAATCAGATATATAATTTATTTATCAATTTGACCTCCATTTTAATAAACTATTATTGTAACAGCCGAAAGAATATGAAGGGGAACTACTGCCTTACTGCCAAGATAGCTTATCCGGCGATGTGGTATAACCCTGGGTCGCACTCACTAGTAAAGCAACGGAATAGGAATAGGAGGGGGAAAATATTGCCTTACTGGCAAGCGAGCATTACAAGCGATGCTGCTTAGCATCGTCGAAAGTTGCTTGATGGCTTCCCGTCCGCACTTTGCAAACTGAATTTGCTGAAACAGTTGTTCTCTCGAAAGACCTACTCTTATTATCTTTGTTCTCAAAGTATATCTTTCCTTTATCCATAGTCTGTCCTACTTTCATCTACTTTGCCTTCGGGATGATGACGGGGTGTTCCCCTTTTCTTCACAAAAGAGAGTGTTGTAGTGAAGGATAATGGCCAGTTCCTTACCTACCCAATATTTTACCTTTGTAACTTTACCTGATTACACCAAGCCGCGTTATCATTTTCTTAGCTTAATTCAACATTGTGCATAGTCTAAACATGGGATATATTTTTGTTTTTCCGCAAGATGTTTTGCATTTTTTGTTCAAGAAACCACAAACATCCTTATATAGAACATTTAGCATCACATACGAACAATAAAGCCAAATGTTGGGGAAGTCATTAAAGACAGGGAAAAATATTGTTAAAAAATCAATTATCTTTACAAATACTTAAATATTTAATGAAAGTTTACAATTAACCCATTCAACCGTTCATGTTATGTCAGGCAGAGTGTAGCGTAGTAAGATGCTATGCTGTTGGATGTTCACAAGTTATCGGGTATTGTTACAAAACACATATCAAAATCAAACAAAAAAATCAGCAAAAATCAAAAGTTATTCGATGTAAGACATCACTGGTAATGGATTAAGGTTTGTTCAATTTTTATTTGTTTCAGCACATGGAATATACTCTATTGTTAATCCTACGTTTAACTATGTAACAACAAAAAAGTACCAGTTTGACGCCACTTGTACTGACTCCTATGGGTCATCAGACACCGGAACCTTCTACGTTTATGTTACTCCCAACACCTCTCCAACACTCACAAACCTGCCAGGTATATGTTGAATTTTTATATTAGTAAAGAACCCGTCAATCACGTTGTGGCTATGCTTACTAGTGACACTGTTAGGATATACTTTAAGTCACACACCTACAAGTAACGTTGCCATGTGTCAGTCACCAAACTACATGTACCATCACGTATTTGTACTATAAGTAACAAACTTTATGTGAGTGTAAATATTAAATATAGTATCACACGTTTACGTCATCGTGCACCAATTATTTCACTTGAGTTTGCACGATGTAATCGTGAAACTTAAGACATTAGTTCAATAAGAAAACCCCACAAAGAACCCCATCATTTTCGAGTTTCAATTTCAGCATTTCTGAATAAAATCAATTGATAAATTCACATGAAAATATCATTAAAAAAATAAATTTTAGCTAAAATGATAGGATAAAAAACAGAAACTATATGATTTCTTCTTCAATAGTAATGATGTGTTGTTTGTTTAGGCTTCAGCACCAGCGATAACGGTTTGTTATGATTGATGTGTTTATATCAATGTTGTTTGTGTATTGACAGCTACAACAACTATCCCAAGTACCACACTTACTGGAACCAGTCTGTTTACCGTAACAGCCTCCGACATCGACGTCACAGACACCGTCACGTTCAACAGCCTCACGTGCTCTACAGGGACCTGTCCATTTACGATAAACACTGGTACGTGATAGGCACATCACGATTAACTTTATAAATCACTGGCACGTGATTAATACAATCTTTTCCTATCTTGAGGGTGTGACAGAGAAATCACCAACCCGAGGGATGATATTATTGATTGTCTTACCAAGGCTTTGCCGAGGGTAAGACATTCAAGAGTATCATTCCTAGGTTGACTAATGCAATCTTCCTGTACATTGAGGATGTGACAGAGAAATCTTCTACCCGAGGGGTGATGTTTTATGGTTGTCTAATCCGCGGCTTTCTCTCAAAAAATCACCCTGAGAGTCGGACATTTCTGTTACATCCTCAAGGTAGGGGATGATTATTTTTCTCCCATCCTTTTACTTCAGTCACCACTCCACCGACAGTAGTATTACATGTTTGTAAACAAAAACACATGTGGGGTATGCATATCGTCATTCACTTTTGATGACGTCACAATTACCGATGACGCATTTTAATGACATCACAATTGAATACGTGCTAATCGGCACGAGGCTATCTCCCCCTAGGAGTGACAAGCTGATCTTTCCCGGGTAAAATGGGAGACACAACTGTGAAGGTAGGAGAAAAGCTGACCATACCTGGATAAAACGGGAGACACACCTGTGAAGGTGGGAGAAAAGTTGATCTTACCTGGCTAAAACGGGAGACACCCCTGTGAAGGTGGGAGAAAAGCTGATCTTACCTGGCTAAAACGGGAGACACACCTGTGAAGGTGGGAGAAAAGCTGATCTTACCTGGCTAAAATGGGAGACACACCTGTGATGGTGGAAGATAAGCTGTTCTTACCTGGCTAAAACGGGAGACACCCCTGTGAAGGTGGGAGAAAAGCTGATCTTACCTTGCTAAAATGGGAGACACACCTGTGAAGGTGGGAGGAAAGCTGTTCTTACCTGGCTAAAACGAGAGACACCTGTGAAGGTGGGAGAAAAGCTGATCGTAAAAGGGAGAGGATGGTCCATCAGACATTATAAAACGCATAATAAAGTAACCATCTACAAATTCTGAAACATAATATATATCTTTGGTAGGAGTCGTGATAATAAAAAAAAATGTTTTAAACAGAACGCGAGGCCCCTATATGCAAAAAGTACATTTCATGATATTAACCAAACTTTCTGCTGGACCACCTGTATACATTATATGATATAAACCAGGTTTTCTGTTTGGCCCCCTGTTTTGTTTCATGAATTAAACCGGGATGTCTGGTTGGCCCCCTGTTTGCATTTCATTACATAAACCAGGATTTCTGTTTGGCCCCCTGTTTGCATTTCATTACATAAACCAGGATTTCTGTTTTGCCCCCAGTATATATTTCTTGATGTAAACCAAAGTTTCTGTTAGTCCCTATGTATACCTTCGGTTGTATATCAATTTTAGGGACGGGTGAAATTCAGACAAATACTAATCTAGCCACACTGACCAGAGTCGGATATGACGTGTATGTCACTATAACTGATGGGACAAATACAGTAGGACCAAGGACGCTGACCGTCAAGATATCCGGTAAGTTATATTAGCTAGGCAGTATAGATGCGCTTCATGTCATTTGACATACATGTATTTACCAACATAAATTATGAAACAACAATTAACCATTAGACAAATCCTCATGTTTCATATGAACTGTTTCGACAATGGAAGGTTCACAACATGATCATGAGAACAGTTCGAACTGATGTAACATTGTTACAAGGTCTGGAATGAGATCCTCTCAGTACAGGGTTACATCATACATGTATTGTCCTTGCTGTAGGGAAACACAATCCTTTGTTTTTCCTAGGTTAATCATGTTTAACGAGGGTGAATTATTCAACGAATCAACAATTATGTTCTGAGTGAAACAATACAATACGACGGAGCCTCGAGATCTGATCATTACACTGGCGCTCTGCCTAACTGAGGTACCTGATCAACCGATGGACTTTAATCCAGTAAAACAGTATTAAGTTGAGGCTACTGACGTACGAAAAAATACAGTGGAATTCTGTAGTGTTTTGCCTGCCATGGGACAGGGATTCTTAAATAATGCATAATATGTTACTGACTTTTTCCGTAGGTATAAATACTGCCCCCGTCATACAGAATACTCCACTCACATTCACGATGCCGTTATTGGAGAACAGTGCGTTAAGCGCCTCTCTGTATAAGATCACTGCTGCTGATCCGGACCCAGACACGCTTACATACAGTGTTGTCTACACGCCTGCTGCTGAAGGAGCTACCGTGTTTTCGTTTGATACTTCTAGTAAGTTGTCATTGTTTTGCTTTGTTTTTACTTTATCTACAAATGTACCATCATTTATTAATTTGAGAACTTTTGTCTACATTCTCTAGTTGCTTGTATACTTTTGATTAGCACATTTTGTTAACATTTATACTATTTTCTAGATGATGTAACGATGCTATTACACTTGCTACTTTGTTGATAATACTGCTCACAACATTAATGCTGTATCTATAATATCTGTTTACTGCTGTATCTATAATCTCTGTTTACTGCTGTATCTATAATCTCTGTTTACTGCTGTATCTATACTCGCTGTTTACTGCTGTATCTATAATCTCTGTTTACTGCTGTATCTATAATCTCTGTTTACTGCTGTATTTATAATCTCTGTTTACTGCTGTATCTATAATCGCTGTTTACTGCTGTATCTATAATCTCTGTTTACTGCTGTGTCTATAATCTCTGTTTACTGCTGTATATATAATCTCTGTTTACTGCTGTATCTATAATCTCTGTTTACTGCTGTATCTATAATCTCTGTTTACTGTTGGCAACAAGCATACATTTTTGCCTATTTACTTCTTGCTTGATAGATTGACAATTAAGTGTATATATTGATGCAAAACTGTCTGTGGTCATATTCTGCCCATTGCTCATAGGTTTTGAGTTTTAATGACGTGGTTACCATTAAATTGCTAGGGAATACTCGAGAGTGCGGGGTTAATTTGAAATTTTTTCAAGTTTTATAGTTACTTAAAGCTGTTCCGCTGTCTCTACATCCTTAATCATGTTTGTTGCCTTCCAGCTGGCTTGCTATCCACGTCGTCGTCCACCATTGTAGACTACGAGAGTTTGACGAATACAAGTTTTACTTTGGATGTGTCAGTGACTGATGGCACAGATACAGACACTTACTCAACGTTCACTGTTAACGTCATAGAAGTTAACGAAGCTCCAGTATTTGGGAGTACGATCTACTATGTCAGCGGAAATGAAGGAAATGTAAGAAAAAAATATATAAGTCAATCGCAGTCAAATAAGCTGACCCATTTATCCCGCAGTCAAATGAACCGATCCATATATCCCGCAGTCAAATCAACCGACTCATATATCCCGCAGTCAAATCAACCGACTCTATATCCCGCAGTCATATTAGCCGACTCATATATCCAGCCGTCAAATTAACCGACTCATATATCCCGCAGTCAAATGAACCGACTCATATATCCCGCAGTCAAATTAGCCGACTCATATTTTACGCAGTCAAATTAACCGACTCATATATCCCAAAGTAAAAATTAACCGACTCATATATCACGCAGTCAAATGGACCGATCTATATATCCCGCAGTTAAATGAACGAACTCATATATCCCGCAGTCAAATGAAGCGACTCATATATCCCGCAGTTAAATGAACCGACTCATATATCCCGCAGTCAAATGAACCGACCTATATATCCCGCAATCAAATGAACCGACCCAAACAATATATCCCGCAGTCAAATGAACCGACTCATATATCCCGCAGTCAAATGAACCGACTCATATATCCCGTAGTCAAATGAACCGACCTATATATCCCGCAGTCAAATGAACCGATCCAAACAATATATCCCGCAGTCAAATGAACCGACTCATATATCCCGCAGTCAAATTAACCAACTCATATATCCCGCAGTCAAATGAAGCGACCTATATATCCCGCAGTCAAATGAACCGATCCATATATCCCGTAGTCAAATGAACCGACCCAAACAGTATATCCCGCAGTCAAATGAACCGACTCATATATCCCGCAGTCAAATTAACCGATCCATTTGCAAGAAACTGTATTACATGTTGATATCTAAATTGTTAAATGTTGACTGTTTTTACAGAATCAGTTCGGTATACTACCACTCTGTTTTTGACAAGCCTGACCTGATTCTACTCATAACCGAACATGCAAATTAGTCTCAAGACAGTAAATTACTCAATACTTATTCACGACTATAGCTCTCCCACCATTTATAATTTGCTTTAGCACCTGGTCCTATTCTCGTACTTTTTCAAAAATCTAAATGTTAATGTTTTCTTTGTTCATATTTCACCAGAGTTTCAGAAATTTCTGAACTGTAATTACGGCTAAATTTACACATGGTTGTCATTTTGTGATTTTTTCAACAGACAGTGTCGTGACAAAATTCACGTTGTTTTCCGATTGGAGTTTATGTGAATTGCCTATTTTCAACTAATTTCATGAATTAATTTTTAAACCATCCTACGTAATTTTAACATCATTTAAAACATTAACTAGTTTTTCTGCTGATATTTAATTGGAAATTAATGTTGTTCGATAGACTTTTGGCACATTGCTGTATGTCAATATGTTGTTATTAGTGAAACGTCTTTTAGAGGAAACGCTTTATTTGCATGGACATATTATGACATCACAACAAGTTCTGTTTTATTGTGTAACACAAAAATAACTTCTTGAGTGTAACAAGTGTACAGGAACGTACACTGTATAAATGAGAACTTACAATGTATTAATGAGAACTTACACTGTATTAATGAGAACGTACACTGTATGAATGAGAACTGACAATGTATTAATGAGAACTTACACTGTATTAATGAGAACTTACACTGTGTAAATGAGAACTTACAATGTATTAATGAGAACTTACACTGTATTAATGAGAATTTACACTGTATTAATGAGAACTTACACTGTATTAATGAGAACGTACACTGTATTAATGAGAACTTACAATGTATTAATGAGAACTTACACTTATTAATAAGAACGTACACTGTAGTAATGAGAACTTACAATGTATTAATGAGAACTTACACTGTATTAATGAGAACGTACACTGTATTAATGAGAACTTACAACGTATTAATGAGAATTTACACTGTATTAATGAGAATTAACTATTATCAACGATAATTTACAATTATCAGTGAGAGCTAACAATATATCACAAAAGATAATATATCAAATTTGTACGTGTTTGTAACAGGCAGGGGAGAGCTTTGGTAGCCCAGGATTTGTGGTGACTGATCCGGATGTCGGCGCCACACAATCCTACACTGTCGACTGCCCCGCCATTGCAATGGATTCCAGTACAGGCGCGGTGACCTTGAGTGGAACGTACGACCTTGACGTTGTAGGTACGGCGTCAGTTTTGACCTGTATTGCCACTGTATCGGACGGCGAGCTGACTGATACGTCACAACTCATAGTCACAATTAATGACGTCAACGACCATATCCCGTCGTTCGCCCATGCGTCATATACATTATACGCGACCATTTACGGTAACGTTGGCGATACGATTGGGAGTATAGCGGCTTCGGACGGGGACCTGGGTATTTATGGTGAGTCTTTGCTTTAAGGACAGTAACTACTCCGAAAAATTTAAGAAAAAAATATGTCAAAATTCGGAAGATATTTGTTCTGTCTGGGAATTGATAAAGTCGCAACGCATTTGTGGACAGTTGTCTTAAAAGGCACCACTTCGAATCATGCAGTGAGTAGGGGTGGGGGATCTTCCGAATATCATCTCAGCGCAATGGATAACTAGAGATTGGATACAACAATGATAACTCTAATGAACATGATATATAGGTAGGGTCAGGGTTACTGTCAATCTGGTGAGGAGACCACCTCTGTTTTGATTACCGCTATCTAGACTTCGCCAGGGTGATCTTGGTATAAGGGTTTGACGGTATGAAGATTATCATAGTTTGTAATGGTAAACAGGATAAATAGTATATGTTAATACAAGAAAGTTTATTAATCACAAGGCATTCCTCAAATTGTTGTCGAATATGATATATTTGAACCTCTACCCAGAGACGATATTATGAAGTGCATACAATGTTCTCTTACTGGAGGCAGTCACATTATTAAGTCCATACAATGGTCTCTTACTGGAGGCGGTCACATTATGAAGTACATACAATGGAATCTTACTGGAGGCGGTCACATTATGAAGTACATGTACATACAATGGAATCTTACTGGAGGCGGTCACATTATGAAGTACATGTGCATACAATGGTCTCTTACTGGAGGCGGTCACATTATGAAGTACATACAATGGACTCTTACTGGAGGCGGTCACATTATGAAGTACATGAACATACAATGGTCTCTTACTGGAGGCGGTCACATTATGAAGTACATGTACATACAATGGTCTCTTACTGGAGGCGGTCACAATATGAAGTACATGTACATACAATGGTCTCTTACTGGAGGCGGTCACATTATGAAGTACATGTACATACAATGGTCTCTTACTGGAGGCGGTCACATTATACAGACTCATTTAGCCTGGAATATAATTGTAACGGAGTTTTAGAAGTGGTATCTTAACACAGTTCCTCTCATAACAGAAGTGGTCTCCAGATCTTTACTGGTGTTAACTGTTATTGTGAATGTCACTGACGAGCTGTCATTTTTGTGATATGAACACTGTCAACGATCTGTTTTAGGGGCGATTAGCTATACGCTGGACCAAACTTCCCTCAACGAATCGTACTTCGGGGTAACCGGGACAGGGAACCTATACATCAACAGATTTCTTACGTCATTTGGAGATGGGACATATTTTTCATTTTCTGCCAATGTGACCGACTACGGTGGCCTGACAGGTAATATCCGGGTGATGTAATATGTAAGTTATTTACAGCTATATCGACCAATAAACAATCCTTCAGAAAAAAACATGCATGTGATATTTATTATACAACTCACATCACATGAATTCAATTTACAAAAAATAAAACATTTATTTCGGAATTAACGGAGGATGTTTTTACACATTTGATAATTTGAATTGGGGATATCTCTCTTAATCATTTAAAAAATAATGTTTGCATTATCAAAAAAAACAGAATGCTTTTTATCGAAGGTTACGTGTATGATTAACCACTCTAAAATACAAAATTCATAATAGACATCTAAATTAGATTCATATAACAGTGTGGTATCAGAAATCAGTAAAACAAATTAATATTATGATTATAGACCTTTTCTTAAGGACGATACTCTGATTAACAGAGTCAGGGTTAATTAATAAAACACTATTGTACACATACTTATCACAGCACTTTTGGAGTGCTCCTTTATGATTACCGTTAGCTATATGATAGTTATATTTCTGTGTGTAGGTAATTTTAGTGCTAAATCATAACTTTGTTGTCGTACGTGGAAATATGCACGTGCCAATATTCCGTCTTTGCGTATTGAAGAGTTAGCTTCTCTTGTGAGCAGGCATTGATTGTGACGTCATTGGTTTGTGTGAGAAAATTACGTAGTTTTCTCAAAAATTGATGACGTTACTCTCACAAACAAGTGACGTAACAATCAATACCTGCTCACAAGGGCAGATAACTCTGCAATACGAAAAGACGGAATAAGTACGTCTAAAGCATATTCTTTGCCGTCCACAGATACCGCCGATATAAATGTCGTTGTATATGCAACCACCACTGTACCAACCACGTCCACGACGGAGAGGTACGCCACTTTCTTCGAGTATCCCCCTAACATTGCCTGGTTCACCGTGTTCTGTATGACCGCGGTCACCGCCACAGCTGCGTTTTCTTACCTGGCTTATGCGCACGGATTCCTCAGACAGCTAACATGTGAAGATCTAAAGTCTGTGTTTAGAGTCAAGAAAAAGCGGTAAGGTTATCATGTGTGAATGAGGTGTCTACATTATAATGTTTTCGTCCCTTGTTTATCAGACCCTAGACGATCAGAAACAACATACACGATTCTCCCTTTCCCAGTAATATCAACTACAAGGAAGACAGAAACTTGTGTTTTTATCTATTCTTTTAAAGTTTAACAATGTAGTTCGCGATATATTGAATTGGGCATGTTTTTATTCTGCTCTGCTCAGAAACCAGTCAATAGGTATGATAATGTCCAAAAGAGAAAATCGTCACATCACCTTTATATAAGGACTAGATCAGACTACTTTGTGCCTTATTCAAGCTCTGTATTGGGAGGTGAAGATATTATCAACTTAGAGGAATGTGTAAAAGCCATTGCAAAAACTGGAAGTTGCATTGAATCGCCGAAACTGATCACTCTTTATATGGGGTTTTATTGTTAATGCAACATAAAAGTTGTTTAGCTGTGCAAGCTTTTGTCAATTTAGGATTGACTTGAATATATTGTTCATGTTATGGAGATGTATATCTCCATAACATCAAAACTATATTCAAGTCAATCCTTATAATTTAATCTAATATACACATTCCCTGTGGGAATCCCCTTTTATTGGTGGACTCTTTTCTCTTACAAATTATTATTCCGTTGTATAAGCCAATCAAAAGCACGTTACAAACGGCGATGTCATTTTTTTACGTTATGGGCTGATAACATAAATTTTAAGCCAAAGAAAATACTTGTTACAAGCAAGATTACATTATTGATAGATATACATCTCGGATACATCCTGTATCACTATTATCGCACCTAACTGCGAGTTCATATCATTGATAATCAGTCTGATCATATAAAGTGTATGTATGTATGCTATATGGAGATATAATATATATAGATATAATTGTTTTGTGTATTTATGTAGGATATTTTGAGATATAATTGGTTTGTGTATTTATGTAGGATATATGGAGATAAAATTGATTTGTGTATTTATGTAGGATATATGGAGATATAATTGCTTTGTGTATATATGAATGATATATGGAGATATAATTGATTTGTGTATTTATGAATGATATATGGAATATACTTGCTTTTTGTATTGATGTAGGATATATGCAGATGTAATTACTTTGTGTATTTATGTAGAATATATGGAGATATACTTGCTTTGTGTATTTATGTAGGATATATGGAGATATAATTGCTTTGGGTGTTTATGTAGGATATATGGAGATATAATTGCTTTGTGTATTTATGTAGGATATATGGAGATATAATTTTTTTGTGTATTTATGTATGATGTATGGAAATATAATTGCTTTTTATTTTATTTATGTAGGATATATGGAGTTATAATTGCTTTGTGTATTTATGTAGGATATATGGTGATGTAATTACTTTGTGTATTTATATAGGATATATGGAGATATAATTGCTTTGTGTGTTTATGTAGGATATATGGAGATATAATTGCTTTGGGTGTTTATGTAGGATATATGGAAATATAATTGCTTTGGGTGTTTATGTAGGATATGTCGAGATGTAATTGTTTTGTGTATTTATGTAGGATATATGTAGACATAATTGCTTTGTGTATGTATGTATGATAAATGTTTTTTTCTTTTAGAAAAATCATCAAAAGAAGACATCGGAAGAAAATCCGCGATGTAGGTAAATATCAACCGCATTTCAACTACCGACGTCACTGACAGCTACGTCTGACGCTGGTTAAAAAGACAATATTTTGGTAACCATTAAGCTGTTGTTAGGATTTTTGATGTCTGAAATAAATTATGATAATTATGTTTACGTCATTACTAAATAACAATTAGACTATAAACTAGTGTATAATAGACCCTTCGTTGAAACATATCGAGAAAATATGTTTTTCCTTATTATTGAAACCTAATGAAAGTACCAATGAACGGAGTCGGGAATAGTGAGATATACATTAGTGTAGATAAAGGTTAAATGCTTCGATAGTACGAAATCCATTTTTTCATTTATTCATCAACTTTTACTGATATGTGTGTGACTGATGACTGTATGTATAATGGAATTAGGTCGTCAGTTAATCACGAAAACACGACCCAAATCATATTATCATGATGTAAATTTGAAAGTGGTTCTTTCCCTTTTGGAAAGAAGATAGAATTGTCAGTGACGTAACATGTATCCTTAAACACGAACACTTCCTGCACGAGGCCATTCTCGATATCTAGGGGTTACAACCACTTTCGCTCTCTACACCCCTGGATATCGAGGATGGAACGAGGCTGGCCGTATACCAACAACAATCGCCTTTTATTGACAAAGACCTCATCTAAACAACAATGATTTCTATCCGTTTTAACTTAAATATTGAATGTAATATTGTACACAAATGTACGTGAGTTGGAGAATAGTAATAACAAACAGGCAGTCTCGCCACCACATCTGGTTACCTTGCATTTCATTCAGTATTCCATAAAGGAATTCTCGTATTGTAATACTTCCTTTAACGAACTGTGGAAACGTATTGTGACTCGTAAACGTTCTGCAGAATTAATCTTTAGATATCCGTTACGAGTAGAAATACTGACATCTGGTTGAAGGAACATTGGAATGTAAACATAATCGATGGATTGATATTCTTAACTTCTTATTCCTATTCTTGAAATGATTTTAACTAAGTATTATTAAAAGGGATTATCTGGAAACACAAATTCCATCCGTTTAAATTACCAGATTAAATAAACATCTATGTGACTACTTAGACAAGTTGCTTTTTATCATTTCCTTCAAAGATTAAAAAGATGAAAACGTGATGATATTGTTTTCAGGGCATGGACTGGGGGAGCTGCACGGGGGTGTGAGGTTCGCCTCGACAGACATAACAAAACACATTAACACTAAAATCTAAAGATCAAACGCTGTCACGAGGGACAATGAACAACATTATTACTTAACTCTGACGATAGATGGCCACCTTGAGGTTTTTTTTGGAAGATGCATCAGCAGTATTTTGGCAGCTGAGTGCCAACCTGAGGGCCAATTAGAGACACCATCACTTAGCTATGACGACCATGAGCAGCCCTGAGGGATATTGAGAGAAAAACCACCAACACGAGTCTCACCGAGCGCCGCCTCAACAAGCATTGAAAACACATCAATACGGAACATTGACTGGAATATGCCGCTTATAGGACCCTTTGTTATTATAGGAAATTTAAGTATAAACTACTTAAGGTGTTATGCTATATAGAAATCATCTACAGTCACACTGATTATAAACTTATGGTTATATTCATGGTTACACTTACGCATGATTTCGATTTCACGTTATATATAATTTAGCGTTTTCGAGAAGTGAATGGAATTTCTTCAACATCGATGTAAAACGTTACGCGCAACTATCATATAAACGGTATTCTAACACGATTCGTTTGCAACGCGTGTTTTGATTGGATACGGACCATGCTCTAATCTGCGAGAGAATCATAATCAATCGTGTTAAGCTCCTCCCATCGTACTTAAGCCACGCCCCGTTTCTAAAAAAACAAAAATGGCGTCAAGCTCCCTCTTAGCGAAATCCTGCTGATAAGTCTAGCAGAAAACAGAACAGAAAGGGCCGATGAAATGTATTTGCTGAATAAATGAAAAATTCAAAAGTAAACATTGCTTGTTCTTACCTCCATTTATTACTGAAAAATTCGTTCCATTCGTGTGAAGGCATCTAATTAGATCCGATATCAAATGAAACATTTCACATGTGTCGTATGAATTTACACAAAACTCTTCACAAATCTAAACAAATAATCACCGATTTTGTCGATACGCACAGATTGGCATACATACTGAAATGGAAATGAGAGAATTTGATCAATATTAATCCAAATGTGTCGTATAAACTTTGGTAACAGGACGTTCACGAACAATCCAAATATTCGGCCTCGTCGCCATACAGATCGAGCGATCGCCAGTATGGGCGGAGCCAAATGATCGAGTTTTGAAATTTTCTTTCTGATTGGTCAGTCCGCTTTAGAATGGCACGTTGCCAGCACAGGGCACAGAATATTTTACTACGTACTTGTAGCAAGGTAATACAATTTGTCTAAACGTATTAGCGTAGTATGTTTGTTAAGGTGTGTAAAATGGAAATAGTACGTTGTTTTTCGTGTCAATACTGGCGATTAGAACATGAAATTTGGTTTAAACTCTCGACCTGGCGGTCTCGAGTTCAAACCATAATTCATGTTCTAACCGCCTGTATAGACACGAAAAACAACGTATTATCCCCTAAACCTCCGCACGGGAGGATAACCAATGGAATCTCAAATGAACCTGTTTGTATAATATATAACCATAATTGTTGCAACGACTCACATAAGAGGACGGTCGATACATACGATGAGGTAGAACTGTTTTCGTTTCTTATTTGTATACCTCTGGTACACATGTGCAAACTACAACGAATATCAACACAAAACCTGTATTTCACACATACGTTGAAAGAAAATAGCTAGTTTAAAAATTGTAAACTCTAAGAAAAAGTCAACGGGATACATGCAATTATTTAGGGTGCTCAATAGCTTTTTGCATGTTATACAAAGGTCTTATTTATGGTGGACGGCTGTCCTCAATATATAAAATGATTTTTAAATAAATGAGAATTATAATATAACAAATTGTACTTCAGATAAGGAGGTTACTTATTTGGCAGAGTTGGCGATTGTTTTTAAATAGTCCAACATATTTAAAATCCCTCTTTTATACATAGACTAATCAAGGTACATGTAAATGATCAAGATTACTGTGTGAATTGTTCACTGAATTAAATAAATATCACTTTTGTAAATGTTTTAGTTAGACATGTTGTATTTAAATTTGTTTATTTATGACACACTATCTGATTTGCATGTATTATATACTCCGAGTATACAACAGATCATTCACAATGTTGAGTTGACTGTGTTGTATAAGTTGTGTAACTAAATTTAAACAAATGTTGTAAGGTTTCCTAATTCCGGCCATGCTGGTTGCTGTTTGTCATGTAATGCAACTATCATTGATGACGTAAATATCATAGCTAGTCAGTAAATATTATAGCTAGTCAGTAAATATCATAGCTAGTCAGTAAATATCATAGCTAGTCAATAAATGTCATAGCTAGTCAGTAAATATCATAGCTAGTCAGTAAATATCATAGCTAGTGAGTTAATATCCTCGTTAGTCAGTAAATATCCCAGATAGTCAGTTAATATCCTAGTTAGTCAGTAAATACCTAACTAGTCAGTAAATAGCAAAGCTAGTCAGTAAATATACTCTTAGAACACTGATGTCGATTCTTTTGCTTTGGTTTGTTTATTTGTTTTGTTTATTTGTTTTGTTTATTTATTTTGTTTATTTGTTTTGTTTATTTGTTTTGTTTTGTTTATATGTTTTGTTTATTTTATTTTTTGTTTATTTTTTTTGTTTATTTTTTTTGTTTATTTGTTTTGTTTATTTGTTTTGTTTTGTTTATTTGTTTTGTTTATTTGTTTTGTTTTGTTTATTTGTTTTGTTTATTTGTTTTGATTATTTGTTTTGTTTGTTTGTTTTGTTTATTTGTTTTGTTTATTTATCATTTTTTTTCATTAGAGTTCCGCAAGGTATGATCAATAGCTACATATTTGAGCGAAGTAATGTTGATCCTTAAAATGTCAACATTTTGACCTCTTAAGTATGTTCCTTACATTTGTTAAGATTCTAAGAAATAATGCCACCGTATTAAATGAAATATTTTAGGATTTTAGTAATGATGTTGTTCCTGTTTTAATCGAGGTCATGTTATAGAAACGCTTTAGACCTTTCAGATTAATCGTTATATTCATTAACAAAAATACTTCAAAATCTACAGGCATGTAGCCTATACCTTAAGTAAGAACTTGGGCCTCAAACATTACCGTTCTGGTCGAAAAAATAAAAGTACTTAACAGTTATATAATAAAATGCAATGCCCAAATGTTAATATCATAAAAGATTAAATCTTTGAAAGGAAAACGTTTTATATCGAACATGTTATAATTACGCAACATGCTATGTACATTGTCTAGGGTAGAGAGAGGGTAGGTCTATTCGAGTTCTCGCTAACTGTTTCTTTTTTCGCGGCATGTCTCTAAAGGTACCTCTGCTAAGCCCGTGTGAATAATGTAACCTGTAGACGGTCATACTACTGTGTACAGGTAATGATATTTGTCAGTGCAATGACACTTTAAAATAGCCCTTAAATGACCCCGCCATCTGTGGATTCCACCATTACCTTATAAATTAAAATTAAATTAATGTTAAGAGTATGCGAAATACCCAAGCAAACGAGCTAACAATTCAGTTTACACTAAAAAAATCTATTTATCACAGTATAAACATGCCCTTTACAGGGGCACATCATTCACGCACTGAGTGTATGGATATATGGGTTATTGTAAGGGTTATTATTATCAGATCCATTACAATGTATTCTGGTGCCCATTGTTAACATAACATCTGTAGGATTGTCGCCGTTTTATGAAGATATTTACATAGTACACCGTAAGAACTAAGCCTTGTTGGGTGTTACTTGGCTGTTACATTGTCCTGACGTACTGGACCTGATACCTGTCACATAAAACAGATATATGTTGTAACAATAACTATAGAAATTAAACTTATACGACAAATAAATTAGCAGGTGAACTGATTCACCGCCGCCACCCTACACAAGTAAGAGTACAAACTCTTTAGAAATGTAATAAAACATTATCTTCAAGAGGATTTGAAACGTTCTATCGGTTAGATATTTTTCTCCGTTTAGTCTTGATCATTGGCGGTATTTAAGCATTTTAGACATGCAATTATGTGGAAATGTACTGACAACTAGAGTATGATATTATAACACAATTTAATATTTTTTTCCGTTACACTTGATAGAAGTTCGATTAAACATAACTACTTAATAAGTATAGGTAAATCAAGTCCTGAACATTTTTGTTTACTTCCAGCAAACACTGTCAATTAGGAACGTTAGCAGATCTTTTAATGCATACACAATCAAATGGGCGTACCTTTATTTGACAATTTGGCAATTGCAAGGGAGTTTTTTGGAAGACAGATGGTCGGTTGGAAAATAAAACAAGCACGCGCATGTTGAAATGTCCAATAATACATGGTTATTAACCATTTAAACTGTCGTTACGTCGAAGACGGTGTATAATGTTATATCAACAGTGAAATCTTCACAAATTCGAGTTACCTCCCCGTAGTTGTTTATTTACATAATGAATATGAAAATGATATTTGAATAAAGTGGTGACAGGTGATCTATATGCATGTTGATAGTTGTATCCCGATATTGACAAGTCTGAAAATAGTTTTGTTAAATAAACACCATTCATATATATAATCAGTATATATAATATAATCAGTTGCAGTAAACAACATCAATATCAAAATAGTACCTTACATTGAACGGTGTGGATCTATACTCTAATACAACGATCGATCCGTACCTTGATGATTTAAATCGATGGGCTAGACCAGGGGCCTGTTCGTTTATACGGAACAACCGGTACCTTCGTTTTTAAATGTAACATTTTTGGGTAAAAATCCTGGCGGACTTGCACATATCTATGCAGGCCTTGCAAGGCTTTGTCAAGGCATCAGCTTACTGGGTCCGACCTTATTTCATACACGAACAATTCTGGTCCAACAGGTTTAACCGTTTGGACCGTGATAAACGGAAACGGCCCAGTATTCAAAGTGTGGACCTACGAATATCATACTGCCGTTCTACCCAGCAGAGTTACAATATCATCCACACGAAATGAAGGGGAGGTGGGTTATTGTATGGACACAAACTCCAGTGAACCGTTTTAGTTGGCAGCGGGACAAGGATCATTAACCACTCACAATAATATACATATGTATCAAAACTCTAGACATCAGTTTAGCTGATATTGAGTACTGCTACCGACAGGCTTATTGTACACATTTTGCAAATGTTGAGTCACTACACCAGCCTGCAGTATTGAGGATTGTTTGAGTAGGGACATGGACTGCTGATGTTGATGCTGATGTTGATGCCGCGCTAGTGCTGTGCGGAGCAAATATTGTCATATCAATCCCTGCCTTGAGCATAATATCTTTTATCTATCTGGAAATGGTTGATTTTGAGACTGGCAAGTGCGGCTTATGAAAACTTATAAAAAGCTTGCCCGTTTTCTCAGAATTGTCCCTCAACAACTCTGTTCTGTTAATGTATTCTCTTAATGTTTGTATAACACCAGGTTAGTTTCATTAAACCTTTCCAGGGTTATTTCACTTTGGTGCAATCCAGGCCTTTTTGTTTTGAGGATGTCTCCAAATCAAACTTTCACCTGTTTGTCCATAAGTGTCACATTCTGGATGTTTAATGCATGTGAGCTCTCAGCACGTTGTCCTGTGGAAAGTGCTAATACCATAACAGTTGTTGCATATGTTGGTATTTTAATATTGTCACATCCATGCTGAGAACATATTCAAAAACAGCTTCAGGGTCCCAAGTTACATTGTTCCTCGGTAGGGTAGGCCGTAATTGAAACACTCCTTTTATAAACCTTTTGATATACACATTATTGTCACAGGGTTGTCCATCTATTTTGTAACATAGTTTCGCCTGAATGACAGTGATGAGAGAAAACATCTACTGCGAAAGCAAAACGATCTGGCTTTCATGATACATATTTTTTAGTTTGATTATTTAATCTATCAAACAGATCAACATATGGCATCCCTAAACGTTTTTTGAGTTTGGTAAACAGCTGTGGCGTCAGTTTCCATTCTGTATTTTCAGGCTTTGTTCTTCTTTCAGCATCAGCTTCTATATTGTCACAACCTGGGATGTGTGCTGCAGACAGCCATTTATTCTTAATCTTGGACCAAGCCCGCATTTGTTCAGCCAGACTGTTAGATTTCATAGTTTTACCACCCATGTGTGACACATAAGCTATTGCCGTGGTATTATCCATATTCAGTCTGATATGTACATTTGTTATTTTTTTTTACAAAATGCCAGCATTGTAAACCATGCTGCTTTCAATCCAATTAATCAATATGTTCTTGAGCCTCAGTGAAAGACCAATTTCCACCTACTTTTGGACAATTTCATGTACCTGTTTTGCACAACCTGTTCTGATATATTACACCTCCCCATCCCACTTTTGAGGCATCAGAGGTTATTATTATATCCACCATTGCAAATTTTGTATGCTTTCTTTCATGGGATATAGGTACATATGACTATCAAAGTTGCCCTTTGCATGTTTTAATGCTCGATTTTATCATATTCTAGGGATCTGTAATGGGATTGTCCATATTGAACCCCCGGAAAACTTGAAACCATTAGCCCTATGCAACGAGCGACTTCCTGTATTGTGGGAGAAGCTGTGGCTAATAATGGCTCACACACCTGTTTAAGTTTTCTAGCTTTTTTGTTTGTCAGGGAAACAGTCATGTTTGTTGAATTTAGAATGAAACTTAAGTATTCAATAATTTGACTTGGCTCAAACACTGATTTTTCTGGGTGAACAACAAATCCTGTGGTTTTTCTGACAATAAAACTGTGTTCATGACATTAGTGCGACATTCCTGCAATGTGTCGCCCAAAAGCAGTGATTCATCAATGTATGTTGTGTTCAAAATTCCAAGTTTTTTGAGAGAAGATAAAAATGGCCTTGTAATTTTAGTAGACACTCTAGGAGCGGATGCTAAACCATTAGGCAGTGCTTGAAATTGATACAACTTCCCCATAAATTTGAAACGTAGGCATTTTTGATACATTTCAGATACAGGTACCGAGTAGTAAGCATCTTTCCAATCTATGGAAGCCATGAAACAATCCTTTGTCATTAAGCCAAAAGCTGTTTAGAGCGTGTCCATTTTGAAGTGTCGATACATTATAGACTCATTTAGAGTTTTTCGGTTCAAAATTAATCTGACACCTCCATCTTTTTTTAGGGCGGATGGATATGTTTGATATAAATTCGCCTGAAGTATGTTCAACCTGTTTAATCACTCCTTTTTGCAACAATTTAATAATTTCATTGTTGATAGATTCTTTCTCGTGATCTTCAAATGTATACTGAACAGGGTTTAATTTTTTTCCATAGAAGATGGATTGTCAAAAAATACAAGTTTGACACCTTTGATAGCATCTAATATGACAAAGTCTGATGTTAATGTCCTCCAAAAAGTAAGATGTTTACCCAAACTACCTGCTTGGTAATTCTGAACATAACAGTGTAATTTTGTTTGAATATCTGACGAAAACAAATCCCAATCATGACTTTCGGCAACGAAATTGTTAGGCCTACTCACCTCATCATAAACCGACTGGTTCTCTACAGGGGTTTATTTCTTCTCCTGACCCTTTTTGTAGTTTTTGTTCATGTTTTCTTGCCAGACATCTGTGGCATGGACTGTTTGTACCCACCATGATTGTAACCGTCATGATGATACCCTCTATTTCAACCATGCTGGTAGGGGTGGGCACGGAACTTTCCTCTCTTTGATTGTCCCTCCTACCACCAGTATAGTCCGCACCCGAGCTCACCCGAACTCACCCGAACTCGCCCGAACTCACCCGAGCTCACCCGAGCTCACCCGAACTCACCCGAACTCACCCGAACTCACCCGAACTCACCCTAAGAGCCACTCGGTTAGTGTCGCTTATGTCTTTCATAGCCTTTGGTAGGTCATCGTCAAACAGTTGCGTTGTGACCGGGTTGTACTTCGAACAAAGCCAGCCAAACTGATTGTTTAAATCAGGCCGAATCAGGTCTCGGCGGTGCAGGCTGATCTTCTGTGAAGCACTTCCCATTAGGGTAAAACTGTCAATTGAGAACTTACAAAGTTCGTCGGCTTTTGGTCTAACATCAATGTCTTTGTCTTTTTTTTACGTCAGTCAATATATGAATTAACCTTGCTAACGGAATAAGACCTTTCGCGATACGTGTTTGTGCCTTCTGAACGCGAATATCCCGACTTTTTGTGTCTGTTTTTAGTTTCCTCCACATCTCGGGATTCATCCGAGGCGCCTGGAAATTCTCCATGTTTTCAGGTTGAGGATTGGTATCTAATTTGTCCTTTAATTTTTCCTCTGGCAAGATGGCGGCAATACACTCGCGCCAAATGGACAGTGGTCAACACTGACCCCACAGGGTACAGGGCTAAAAAAAAACACGTGAGTTTAGGCTTATTATAGCCTCAATATAACTCACAAAAAGTGTCGAAAACAATAACAAACAAAGCACGATCACTATTGAGTGATATTATTGTGTGCACTTTGTATAATCTGGAAAAATAAGGTCGGTAAAATTGTTTACGTCTGAACCTTTCTGGGAATGAAACACGACTGGTGGTATGCGCACGCATCTCATGGGATCCCGGGGTACCTATCTGAAGTGAAGACAGATAAGTTACTCATTACAAAACACAATTCACAAAATTGCTAAATTTAGCATATGTTGTAAAAATAACACACAAGTGTCGGTATTTGGTATTTGAAACACCAGTTTTAAACAGGTTTATTACTAGTAGGTAAGTTTGATTGACAACCTGTGGGGTTTATAAAGAAGATCACATTTTTATTTCCTCAAACAATGAAAGAGGAACTACTTAAATTAGATGTTTTGCAATACGTCGTGTTTCCGCATATACAGCACAGCTCATTAAATTGACAAAAACGAGTCGACGACGGAACAAAATATAATAGTGATATTGTTTTAAACAAATGTGTTTTGTTTTATTTCTGGCGGGTTATTGAGGATAGAGACATTCGACTAGAGGAGGGCTACGCATTAAGTTAAAGCTTTATAATATGCTATACGCTAAATCATATCCCAGTTGATTGACTTTTCTATCACAAACACACATGCGAAGACTAAAACAGTTAGCATTACGAAGACGATAGAAAACAAAATAAACAAACAATGAGAACAAATAAACACAAATGTCTTATCTAATCCCACCGACTACATTCAGACGTGTAAACAAAACTTCAGTAGTGCAGAGGCCATATTAAATAGGAGCTCCAGACGGATTACTTGTAAACTAGGATGAACATAAATATTTTGAAACTTATGACGTGCGATATAAAGATCAGTTACCTGTAACTGAGCGAGTTCGGGTTATTTCAGTCTCAGACTTGGATTCTTGGCGTACGCTTCGGTAGGGATAGTGTTAAGTATCTAAGCTTTCGTCTGAGATCGATAGTGTCTATTATATATAGGTATTTGTGATAAAGACATTCTACACGAGGGCGTAGACTTAGGGTTATACCCGAGGATTTGCCGAAGTTCTTACTCATAATTCACGAAGGGGAGGATTTTAACATCCCACCTACCTAATGATTGACTATTTTTCTCCCATTCTTAATTGACATTTTGAAAAAACAGGACAAAGAAAATGCAACTGAAACATTTAATATAACAAATTTTCTAAACAACGACAATAAACCTATGGTATAGCTCATATGTAAAGGTCGATACGAGTCATTCAAGGAAAGTTTGTGCAATACTACTTACGTTTTTTGTGCTAGTATCACTTGCGATATTATCGCAGTCAGTTAAACGACGTTTTACCAGGCTTTCCATGGTGACGACATACTACAACGCCGTCTTTTGATAGTAACGTCATAGAAGGAAATACGTCATACGAGTATCACACAGAGTGTTCCGTATGAGTATCACACAGAGTGTTCCGTATGAGTCCTGTATCACACAGAGTGTTCCGTATGAGTATCACACAGAGTGTTCCGTATGAGTCCTGCATCACACAGAGCGTTCCGGATGAGTATCACACAGAGTGTTCCGTATGAATATCACACAGAGTGTTCCGTATGAGTATCGCACAGAGTGTTCCGTATGAGTATCACACATAGTTTTCCGTATGAGTATCACACAGAGTGTTCCTTATGAGTCCTGTATCACACAGAGTGTTCCGTATGAGTATCACACAGAGTGTTCCGTATAAGTATCACACAGAGTGTTCCGTATAAGTATCTCACAAACGTAGAGGTGGGAGCAAACACGATATCTCTCAGTTACAACCTATGGATTGTATTAGTCTTGACTTACGTTCCACATATATTGATCAAAAATAATTAAAGCCAGTTGGATATGATGAATTATTATAACATATTCTTTTGCTTTTAATAGTGTGTGCATAACGATAGATAAAACAATATATCCAAGGATGAATTACATTGTTCCTTTCACCTATATATCAGGTCTCAGCTCTGTGACTGTCACATCAGGTTTGTGATTCGATGAACAACATGTTAAACGTGTTAAAATCATTGATGCTTCGGCCTAAACACCATTAAAGATACATGTACTGAAAATATAGGGTTAATTCTGTTAACGCGTATACTGCTGCAAGTTGACTTCGAGAAGTTGTCGGGAATACTCGGGCAATTCCGTTTCATTCCGTATTTTTGGATTATGACGCTGTACTCCTCAGTGTATATCATATGCAACCGTTGTCATTTGTGATTCATCGCTGGTGTATAGGGCAGGAAGTTGTGTCGGGAGACCTTACACACATAATGTGATCCAAGGGAAGCTAATACTGGTGGGACTATAATGTGAGGTAAGTAATTTTGATTATTATATATATATATATAGTGAATCTAATTGGCCGCCTTTCATTTTTTTTTAATAAAACATACGTTCTATTACACTTCTACAAAACAATGTATTACATGTTCTGGCATACTTCTGACATGATTATTATGATAATATCAAATTAATTCATGCCGACCATATGAGTCGAAATCTTTTATTTGCTTAGATAAAAAGAATGCCTCTTTTAACTTATGATTATATATCTAAAACGAGTAATTTTATACCCTTCACGAATTTTACCTTTTTTCTATTTCATTATATAATTGAAATTTTAAGGGAACAATGAATTCATCTACATAATGCACCAGGAGGCATTAGTATATGTCACAAATTTCATAAAACAATTTATTTAAATAAATAGGACAATTATTATAATATCTTGTTTCCTGAAGGTGAATAAGTATATGTATGTATAAATAAGGACACTGGCGTATTCTAATGTGACAAATACATGATGGTATTACTGTACTGTTTATCATAAAACTGTTGGTGTTATATACACACTAAATAAATGTAATAGAAAAGATAAGTGGTGAAATAAACCAGCTGTATTCGTCTCTCACTTCTCTACACTGTCGTTGAGTTGGTGTCTCTCCCTAGCTTCAGACAACCGTCTCTCCCTTCTCGTCGCTGTCATTACGTTAAAATACATTGTAACTGAACATCTAGAAAACGATTATGCGTATACATTGTATACACACAAATGCTTTTTATATTTAATTAGATTAAAACTGTTCGTAACATTTGTGGCAAATTATTCATTGCGTATAAACTTTCATGCATTATCTAATGCTCAGCATTGTACTCCTCTTCAGAATGGGATTAATTGTATAACGAAAATTAACATTTATATTGGCTTTCATACAAATTACATATTCGTTAAAACGTTTATTCTAGTAATATTATAGGAATAGACACACAGAGTGTAACAGAGATTATTTATAACGATATAGCTACACACATCCACAGTAATTTAGCATGAGCTATGACTGGGGAGTATATAATTAAGGCACTGTTCTATTTTATCGTAAAAATATGCTTTTATCACATAATGTACTGTCTTATCCAGTGAAAATACCCATGTCATATTTCTTTGCATTAATAACCCATGTAATTTGACCTATCAGCCAAGTGAATTATGACGTCACGCCTTGAACAAGTAGATAACGTCACAGACTTACGCACTGGAGCCAAATGGCGGCTTATTACATTTCAAGGTTGCATGAAAATGTCGTTTTACACAAATCTTGATCATGTGATAAAAAGGATCTTTCACTCGTTTTCAATTCATATGAAATTTATGAAACTCGTCACGATTTTTTTCTTTTATCTCGCAAGAGGCTTGCTAAATTGAAGCATTCTTAGGCTCGTTTCATAAATCTCATATGAAATGGAAACTCATGTAAGATCCTATATATGCCCCACTGCACTGATTACTATAAGCATGTTATATATAACCAAAGAGACTATGAAATTATAGACTCTACTTTGTTATATTCTCAGAGAGGCATCCAGTTGATCAAATCCAACTGAGGACACTTTAAAGTATGAAATAAAATAATATAAAAATTATATAGCATCAGCACACGCGGAGAAAATAGAAAATAACGGCAATCTGCTTGTCACAACGACAAAGTGAAGACATTGTGAAACCCTGCAAACATTCACATCTTCAGGGTGAACTTTTCGGTTTCCTTACCCGAGGCTTTGTCGAGGGTAAAACAATCAAATAATACCCGGAGATTGAAGATTTTTCTGTTACAATGTTAGGAATGAGTATTTCGCTCCCATCATCCAACAACACCACGAGCATACCCTAGTGTCAACAAAACCATAACACGAACTAAACATCGGTAAAACTCGGGGAAACTCGGTAAAACTCGGGCAAAATAGGATCAAAGGAAAGATTTACATTGAAACCATTGAAAATAGGACAAACAACGTATTATATAGTTCGCGTGTATTTAAGCATGTTATTCTATGCAGTCACATAGTTAGTAGGCAAGTGATGCTGAAGACCGCATTTTTGCAGTGTATATTCACTCTTTTCCGATAGAAAACCTTGGTTACAATGTAATAATCTAGTGGCCAATGAGCCGTATCAATGTAGAAAACTTCGACTGTTAAGGTATAATCTGCTGTAGCAACTTAAAAGTGATAGAGACAACGTGTATTCAACATCTTACTGTCGATTATAACTGATAACAAGCTAGGTGTGTGTGTTATATTTCCCATATGTTTATATGAAATAACGTTTTTTAAATTTGAAAAAATAGTGACTATCATCTAAACCGACCTAATGTTATATCTGGTCGTAGTCATGTACTGAGGATGCATCCCAAGCGGTGTATAATGTTCTCAGTGAACACACAACACCATGTAGACATTTTAATTGTTTTAATTAAAAAAACCCATCTTTAATGAGATTCACCTATGTCACATTAAGTTGTAAACACCATTGAAGTATTTTCAAAATCAATTAGCGAAGATGTCTGTTTATAGAATTTAGTTGTGGTTACGAGGGCTATCACAAATAATGATATACTATTTATGAACATACCAGCGTATATATTATAACCACCACCGTCACTTAAGTAATAAACGTCACTAAATTATCAACTAGGCCAAAGTGTAAGACATGACGAGCTGTCCGTCTCAGACACAACTTTCTTACACAATTAATGGCCTTGTGAAACCAAGGCCTAGAACCTGATAGCCCAGAGCGGAACGACATATTTTTTTGTTTATTTTAACATTGGAAACCATGATTAACATCGCTGGTATCATGTAATGAACATAATCTTGTATTGATTAAAAAGGAAAAACACCCTTTGCGGAGAAAAAAAATTGAGTCATAAAGAAGGTAAAGTTACCGAACAATGTAATGTATAAAACGTCTACCGCATCCTCTGGTTAATGTGTCGTCATACTTAGTAATACGTACAAACGGCCGCGACCAACATTCTGTCTACTGTGACATACCTACTGACTTCTGTGTCATATTACTGTGACGTACATGACGATTACCGTGATGCACATGCTGATTCAGAGAAGGAATTCACCCGGTGTATCTCATGGGGTAGCAGTGGTGCAGAATAGTGGGGATGTTATGCCTTCTCCTTTTAAAACATTTTAGAACATATAGACCTGCTGATCGAAAACACAATGCAAACATATTCATAGAAGATTTGTTTCTATTAAATACTTATTTATCATAGGATCTACATAAGCAGCTTAACATTTCAGCAGTAATTAAGGAAAAAGAAGTCGATAAAATATAGTCGATACAAAAACACAGTAATTAGTTCGCAAATCGTCAAATTTTGTAGATAAATATTTATTCACGAATGTTCCATATATAATTTATAGTAATCATTACGCCATTGTCGTGATTATTGTTAGTATATTATGCTCGCTCTGAGTGCTGTTCAGTTGTTATTAAATACAAAACCTGTTTCAAAAAAATGAAATACTTCTGATATGAACAAATAAAAATGGGAAGGAAAAAGACAAATACCTTATCTGGATTCTAAACATTATTCATGTGTGCTTTGAAATAGCCACACGCTTTGGAACATTTCGGTCAGTTTTACAAAATTGTACAATAAATTGAGCCTCAGATTAGCAATTTTGAAAGACGTCATACAGAAGGTTTTTTTAACAAGAAGTGGAAAGGAAAGAAAACACACGATTACCGTAGTGTGATATACAGACAATATGCTAACAAATGTTAGTGACGATTACGTATGATAAATGTATATATATATATATTATATTTTGGTAGATGGAAGAATCAAGTTATCAAACTAAGAGTGGATGTCTCGTTATTGTTACATAAAACTAATTTAAGGAAGGGCAATCGTTAACATCTCCGGAAAGACGATTTTAGAATGGGCCGTAATTGCCTGTCTTATATTTTATTAATTTCAACTATCATTTCTGTATATTTATTTTTGGAATTTCCCAACAAACTATTCATATATGTTCAGAATTTGTCGACAGTGTGTGACTGGCATTTTTTTTTATTAGCTAATAAAGTCTAAAACCTATTGCAATTCACGAAGAAATGATGACAGTTTAGAAGTCAATTAGCATTTATATTGAAATGACCCCCCATGTATATAACATGCGGCTAGCCATTATGAATCACGTCACGTCATGTCTTGTTATTGATTTTTTTAAACCTGTTTTGCAAAAGTGCACTACGTCTTTATCGTCTATCTGGGTGTAAACGTGTGTTTTGCTTTAAGGTTACAGCAACAATCTCCTAGACACGAATATTAGACATCGGTGATATATCAAATGACATGAATTTACATTTACATCATTCATGGTGTATACCATTGCAAATTTTGGTGATATGCAAATTACTACTGTACTTTATAAACCCTGTTTAGATATGAATAATTACAATGTATGATGAATTCGTAGTTTTGGAGGTTAGCTTACAAATTTGAGAATAAAACTCTTTTATGCGACTCTTTTTATTGTAATCTAGGGACTCCTGGTGCACTGGGTTATTTTAAAGTACATGGATCTTTCTCTTACCCCGGATTTGCTCTATAATTAGGAAGTTCGCGGCTTTTGAGGATAAGGATCACCCATAAGCTGATTAAAAATCTGTAAACATTAGGATATAGCTTGCTTAGATTTTATTGATTTGTTATAATATGCTATTCCTCATTCCATTTTAATTGTTTTCGCTAATACTAAATGCAATTAAAGTTTCAGATATACGTATGTGTTTGTACATTTGTAGTTTCCCTCCTGTGAGACGTTGACTCTTCTACCGACTGTCTTTTAAATGAAATGCAATTTATGTTTGCAATTTAAAATGTATTGCAAAAAAATGTATCCTTGTGACAAGATTGGAGGCTTGTGATGTAGAAGGGAACCTTGAAAAACTGTCGGTCATGTGAAAAAGTTTTCAAAATCTTACATATTTTAAAGGTGACATTATGTCGA